TGGGAGTGTTCGAGAGTGCGGGGCGAGACAGATGCGAGACGGTCGTGTTTTTGTCTCGGAATAGTTTTTAATAACAACATTATGTGGCAGGGAGGCGACGACGCCGACCGCGTGTACTTCTGGCCGCTAGCCAGCCTTGAGATGTAAATCAAAATGTTTTCAAGGTTTTTCTTTAAAAAAAAATAACAAATACGCTGTCTAGGTCTAGCGTACTGCGCAAACCAACTCAAATTATTAATCTTCAAGTCCACGTTATTTAAGGTCAGCCATATTTCGATTAATAACATAAAATACATGTCACATTGCAGGATATTATGGTTAGCTTCGAGAGCTTTTAGTAGGTACTTGTAATATTACTAAGCTAATCAAGAAAATATACATGAAATTATATCTAGTTGGAGCAGAAATGGCGTATAAGTTTGAATATAAAAAGTAGTTGGTAGACCAGCGAATAAATAAATAATAAGTGTTAAACGGGAAAGAATTTATCAACAATTAGGGAAACACTGCCTATATTTACAACAATACCTTCGGAAATTCCGTAATCAGTGATCCGACTGGTAACTAATACAAGTGCATATAGGGAAATTCTGTTTAAATAAAATTCTAATCAATTTAATATATTCGTAAACGGATAGACCATATAAAAAAACATTTACATACTACAGTATATTATATTGTTAGAAAAGTTTGTTGATCTTATTCTGATTATAATTAAATAGCGACGTCTAAGGATTTCTCTACGTAATTAATAAAAAATACTTGTATTCATTCTAAAGCACGTGTTTTTATGACCATAATTATAAAAACGTCACAAAAGGCCATAAAGTCAGTCGATTTCATATTTTGATCAAATCAGTTCAAAATATAGGTAATTTGATAGACATGTAAATGCGTGTGTATTATTCAGGAAATTGTATTTAAAAAGACAATAGACACAATAGTTCGTCCATGTGAAGTTATCTGCAATGAGCAATTTGGCGTATTTCCAAAATTCCTCAATATGCACCAAGATAAATACGGACACGGGACACAGATAATTTTGTATTTTAGTGCTGAAACTTTATGATGTACAACACTGCAATAAATGCTGGTCATTTCAAAAACTTTAGTACCCATACACTTATTCTATTACGATGGTACTTTAGCTTATATTTATTTTTCTGACGCACTTTGAATATCTAGTTCTCAATCCGCAATACTTCCCAAAGATGTAATTTGCCGGACTCATTAATCATGACTTTATGCTCCATAAACACTTGCGTGAATTATAATCTAATTATAAGTTTGCGTTCGCAAATACATTAAAATGTTTAAATAAGCCATGTGTTTTGAATTTAAAGTGGACATAAGACATTTACAGCCTGCCCGTTTCCGGTATCATGTGAAATGTAGTGTCATCAGTTTTGCCTTTCCGCCTTCTTTACAGTAACTGTACATCACATCGACATCAGCATTTGGGATATCAATTTGTTTTACGATTTTTATTCTTCATAGTTGATATTATTCAAATGTCATAAACGAACAAAGGGTTGTAAGTGACAAAGAAAGGTGAACGTACGAGTACGGAAGTTAGTACACGGCTTCTGAAAGACAAGCATGATGAAACCACCTTGTTCTATGACGTAGAATGAACTACAAGCGACCGGTGGCAGTGATCAGTGCCTCCGTAAACTGCTTTGCGTATACATTTTGTACGTATGCATATTATAATACAAATTTCCGCATGACTAAGACGCAGCGAGTAGGTACCACGGCGCGCGACGCCCACCCTACAACCTTTTACTTTTGTTTGTCATCAAAATGTACTCTAAAGTTGGTAAGTACCCAGATTGATGTTTGCGGAACATACGCTGCGAGTATGTAGGTAGATATCGGAGGTCGCTGCAAAGTAGCAATTATGAATTTGATCGGATCGTTTTTATAATTCAATAATTTGCAACGTTATTGAAAACACTCGGAAGTACAGGCCGATAACTGCTTGTTTACATTCATAATTATACATTATCGTTATTAGAATTTACTAAAATAAATAAGCAAATATTCAACAACTTGTAAGTAGCTTGCAATTTTTTGTTATTGTATTACAGTATGTTATATACCTGATAACTGGTTACATAAGACATGTAATTAAAAAAGGAAAATTAATGAAAGCTTACAAATTAATTTGAGATCTTTTGAAGACTTATCATGTCGAGCATGGGCAACTATTTAAGTCAATGAATCAATATAAGTACACCACAATCTAAAGATATTTGAAAAACTTGTCAGAAAGTAATAGTCACAAATACAGGGAAATTAATAAAATATATTTTATAGATGAGTAATAAGTATTACTAATCAAATAGATTACAAAGTTACGGCGAAAGATCGAGAAGCCAAGGTTGCAACTTACTTATATATTTTGAACAAGTAAAAAAACTGAGACACGTGTTTTGTTAGTATGTCCGGTTAATATCGACATATTATCTGATCATCCAGAGATCGTGAGCAAATATTAGCGCTAATGGAATGTTAAAACGATCGACAGAATGTAAGGTAACATCAATTTGTCGAAATTGACAGAGATTTAACGCTCGACTCGTAAAAACAAACTCAGGAGATGCGTAGGACTGTGATGAATCCATGTAAAAATACATAACAAAGGCACATTTCTTATTTTAAAGTAAAACCCATCTGGTTGTTTTAGAAAATTACAAAAAAGTCATAATGAATACGGGAAGTCCATTTTTTTGTAAATACCCACTTAACTACTGGACTTAATATCTAAGTTGTACGGATTTATAGTCTGAATCATCAAGGGAATATTGTGGTCACATAATTGATTCAACAGAAAAATAAAAACACACAATCTATAGATACAAAATCAGACAAGTTTTGTAAGATGATCGTGAAATATTCCTGTGCTGAGAGAGAGTATAAACTTATTTCACGTAGAAAAATGCTTAAGTAAACTCTTTTCGCCTGTCTTTTATCTTTAACGTCATTCATTTATCAGTGTCATTGTATTAGAAGTTCTACGCCTTGACTGATGGATAGCAAGGTATGGCTACATTATATTTTCTTTTAATGTTAGATATTGATAGTACAGTACTTAATACATTAGCTACCAACATCACGTCTTCAAACTTTCGAACAGCCATCAATCAATAACCATGATTATTTAAAGCTCGGCTGGGAAAATACAAATTTTCATCTCATCCAATTTTACGATTTTGATATGAATCGAGTATTTAGTATACATAAATTTAATCGATTATGGGTACCTTCTTATTATGGGTAATATATTTAGCTTTTTTTTTATAATTGATGGGGCGACGTTTGACCACTATCTCACCTGATGGTAAGCGATGATGCGGTCTACGTTGGAGCACGTCGTCCCATAAGCAACCTATTCACTCGGGCCTTGAAGACTCCCAGGTTATACCCTTCAGGAAATACAGACTCTGGCAAAGAATTCCACTCTTTAGCAGTACGCACAAGGAAGCTTGAAGCGAAGCGCTTCGTGCGTGTGGGCGGAACATCTACCATGAATCGGTGACGCTTCGCGGATTGTCTTGTGGTACGACGATGGAAAGGACTAGGGGGAATCAAGTTGTGCAATTCCCCCGCACACTCCCCGAAATGTATCCGGTAGCTTAAATCGATTATTTCTCTGTTTACTGGAAACATCAGTAACGTGACAGATTTATCGATGTTTTCAGGACTTACATTATACATGTAACATTTTATTATGACGTGTGTTTCCTCACAATGTTTTCCTAAGCTGTTCGTATCTCCTGATAGATTGTGTACACATTATTTATGTTGTGTGACGGTCCAAATCTCGATTTCCATGACGTCTTCTAAGACTAGCCTTACTTTATATTTAACTTTAGTTTTATAAGGGCCGATTTTTCCAACGCCAGATAAATTGTATTTGAAGAACAATTTTGATAATTCTTCCATACTAATAACTGTCAAATGTCAATTTTACTCTCCGGTTAAAAATTAAACTGATGATTGAAAAATCGGTCACTAATAGTAAATTTTCATGTCAACTGTAATGTGACATAACATTAACATTATACCACATCTTTCTTTTGGATTGAAATCAGTACGGAAAGCGATAAAATCTAAATTAATTTTCGATATCGCGAGTTTTAAAACGATAACATCCAGCCGTCTAGGTATTGTGACTTGTGAATGCAACTGTTAGGAAATTGATTGATGAAATGTTACGTATACCTTCATGCCTACACGTCTCGGTACTACGTCACTTATATATATTTATTTCTTAAATGTGGTTCGTAGCCAACAAAGTAACGTATCTATGCAAGAATTAAATGTCTTTATATAAAACAATCTAAACGGGCGTCGCAGGTTTTAAAGTTAATCATGCTAAGAGTCACAAATTCAACAAATATTTGTATAGGTAAAATTGTTCTTATGATAAAAGTAATATATACCTACGTAAATTAAGATAATGTTCGCTACTGATTTATCAAAACAGAAAACTTGTAAATTTGTCACCTTACTAAGTACATAATTTTATGTAGACAGTGGAATTTTTTATGTTGAATAACCTATTATTTATGGCTTTGAAATTGTTAGAATACAGTTTCTACGTACGAATAGTTTAACTAGCGCCTTGAAAACTAATTTACATTAATCCGTTTATAAATATTTAGAAAGCATTTACTACTGATTACAAATAAAAAATACGTATGACGATGTTAAGTGAATGTAAGTACTTATACGTACATAATAGTTCCATCCGCAATGTGGAGTTACCATGAATGTTGCACTTAGAACACAAACAAACAATCGGACTTCGAGCATTAGGTCAAGGAAATCATGTGCCCTAGCCCCACAACTCTCATACACATTCTAATTCCGTAAAAGGAATACGAACATTATTTCACATTGCATAGATTAGCTGTGCTTTCGGATGATGTCGAGTCGAAGTTAGTACACAATTACTTCTTTCAAATTAGTAGAATTTAAAGCATGTGATATACCTGTTCTTCAGCATATTATCAGGCACGAATACATTCCACCATGAGGGTCTCTTTTGACGGACATAAGTAGGACTATCACTATCTTCATCTGTATCGTTGCCTCCTGATTTCCTTCTTTTCTTGCGTTCTAATTGCAGCCTCGCTGCCCAAGAACGTCGACGACCTTTGTCGTTAGGTCCAAATCCTTCTGCACCTACTGGCACAGCCAATGAAGCTCGTCGTGGAGGTTCCGGAGGAGGACCATCAAAGTCTGACAATTGTCTGTATCGTTCTGCAAAAGTAGCTTCGGACGCCCTGCGTCCGTTTGATGTGGATAGTGAAGGTTCCTCAGTGACGACATCGTCAGTGAAGGCCTCGTCGTCGTCTGTGTCGGGTGCGAATGGTTCTCCACTGTATCGTCTCGGAGTCTCATCAACAGCTTCCTGTAAGCTGGCGAGTTGCAGACTCGGGCGATGCGTGCGCAGCCCGCGGGGCAGCCGGCCAGGCCGCGTCTGCAGCCGCGTCAGTGCCAATGGCACCGGCGACTCAGTCAGCGTCGGTTCAACACTCATTTTGTTAATCACTAGTAATCGTTAACTGTCACACTTTGTTCTCTTTACGCAGGTAACATCACAATTACGGCTCCTTCATTTTCGGACACATTTCTTCGAAAACTTTAAAATATCACAATTCAATTAGTTCAGTCGTTGTCGTAACACCTGTATAATAATTAATAGGCAATCATCGTATTGCTCACAAATCATCAACACTGAAGGCGTAGATGATTGTTTAAAGTAATCCCAATTCATGTGACACTAGTTACATGGAAATTAATACTTGATTCGATGATTGGTATTTCAATAGTAAATAATACTTCACAAGAAGGTATGAAAATCATCAAACGGAAAACTATAATGCATAATATGCATGTACTAATTATGATAAATATCCGTCTCGTGACCAACCATATCAACAAATTCCCTACAATAAAAACAGTTTCACAGGTCAATTTGCAGTACTGAGTATTAACACCAAACATGATTAATTAATATATAGATGTGACTATAGAAATCTAGCAAGTGGGTACATAATGTGATTTTCCTTATTTTGAAACAAATAACACTATTTATAGAATTCGCAGCGAAAACAACAAGCTGCAATATAAATAGCTAGTGGTCTGTTAGTAGTACAACCTTAGCGACAAGTGTCGGCGCTATGCCATATAAGCAGGTGATTGCAGCTTTCGTAATAGCTGCGCTGTCCGTCATCAACTCACGCGCACATCGGCACACTGGCAACTCGCACGGCGGGGAAAGTAGCCACCGTTTTGTATAAATAAGTTTTGACTATATCATATCAACACCATTGATTTCTTACAATTTGACCTTACTAAATTAATACGTATAAAAACTTGGAACGTGGCCAAAGTTTCGCCACCATTTTTGATTTTATGATTTTCCAGTGGCATCAGTCATGAGTCACGACTCATAAACATTACAAGTAAATTATATTTTCCTAAATATAAACAGCAGATTTTACCGAGAAATGTCAATATTTAATTGAAAATAGTTTCACTGCACTAAAACGTGGGACTTCCGGTACGCTGTACTGTGTTTGCAATTGCAAGGAACAGCAAATAACATTGAATCTATATGATAATGTACAGAAATAGTTAAAATGCACACGCGTAGTGAGAACGACATACATAGTGTTCCAAGTATAAGTAAACAGTGCACAGGAAATCAAATCTACCATTTCGCAACATGGCATCTAGGTCAAGTGAAGTGCGTACTAATGAGACTCGGAATATTAGTCTAGGACGCGATCAGACACATTCGAGTTCGACATAAAGTACTATAAACTAATTCCAAGTATTATGAGTATCAAAGCCAATCTACTAACGTCAATCGGGCGGCGAAATGTTAGCTCAATGTCAGCTAGGAGATTAACCTCTCAGAGGGCTCGACATCCGCCCCTTACATATCACAATTTCTAATCAAACTATTCCACCCGCAACTGTTCAAAACATGGATATTGTATAATTATGAAAGTCGTAGCAGCACAAGTTGCCTTAATTAAACATTATCCATTCGAACATGTGTACAAACGGTCATCTCATAAACACCTCGCTGTTTGTTGATGTATACAAATCATAGTTGTTTATAAAAAAAGAAATGAAACAGAAAAACAATTTATAAAGTCATGTCGTATCCACTTGTAACTCATTTCAAGCTTTGATCTTTGATGACCGTCCACACTTCCTTTGAAGTGTCCGTTTGTTATTAATTCACCTACTTGATTATTTGGATTTACCAGATTTTACCGAAAATCTAACATTTATTTATTTCTTGTGGTAATAAGGAATAACATATGTTTCCATATTTAGTGTAGTTATAATAACCCTTATCACGATAATTAATGAGTGCATTACATACTGCATAGTTTAAACTACGTATAAATAGCAGAAATCACAATTCTATGTACAGATATAATTTTATCATTCATAATAAATTATTTAAACAATAAAGACGTGATAGCTCATTACATATACTAACATCTATCTATATATATAAAATTCAAAGGTGATTGACTGACTGACTGATTGACTGACTGACATAGTGATCTATCAACGCACAGCCCAAACCGCTGGACAGATTGGGCTAAAATTTGGCATACAGATAGATGTTATGACGTAGGCATTCGCTAAGAAAGGATTTTGATAATTTCCACCCCCAAGGGGGTAAAAAAGGGGATGAAAGTTTGTATGAGACTTTGTCAGTTTTAAACCGATCGGGTTGTAATTTGGCATGCAGATAGATGTTATGACGTAAGCATCCGATGTGAAAGGATTTTGATAATTTCCACCCCCAATGGGGGTAAAATAGGGGATGAAAGTTTGTATGAGACTTTGTCAGTTTTAAACCGATCGGGTTGTAATTTGGCATGCAGATAGATGTTATGACGTAAGCATCCGATATGAAAGGATTTTGATAATTTCCACCCCCAAGTGGGTAAAATAGGGGATGAAAGTTTATATGAGCCTTTGTCAGTTTTAAACCGATCGGGTTGTAATTTGGCATGCAGATAGATGTTACGACGTAGGCGTCCGCTGTGAAAGGATTTTGATAATTTCCACCCCCAAGTGGGTAAAATAGGGGATGAAAGTTTATATGAGCCTTTGTCAGTTTTAAACCGATCAGGTTGAAATTTGGCATGCAGATAGATGTTATGACGTAAGCATCCGCTTTGAAAGGATTTTGATAATTTCCACCAAGGGGGTAAAATAGGGGATGAACGTTTGTGTGAGGCTTTGTCAGTTTTACACCGATCGGGTTGAAATTCGGCGTGCAGATGGATATTATGACGTAAACGTCCCTTTAGAAAGGTTTTTGAACATTCTCACCCCAAAGTATGATACTTTGCCAGTTTTAAATTGATCGGGCTGAGACTTTGCATGCATAAAGTTACTATGACATAGGTATCTCTTTAGAAAGGATTTTGATAAATTCCACCCCTAAGGGGATAAAATAGGGAATGAGAGTTTGTATAAATCTTCTTAGCCGTTGAATTTAGAATCATTGAATCTTTTTGAATTACATTCGGTAAAACGATGATTTGGGACCTGGGTAACGTATGATAGTTTTTTCACAGATGTCTCACGAGAACGGGAACTATGCGTCAATGCCCCAGGACTCTCTAACTCTTAACCACTGAACTTATTCTAGAGAGATTCGGTACAACAATAGTCGATAGAATAGTTTTTATTACTCAAACCTTACGTGATCGGGCACTGTACTGGTAAGATCCCTGCGGGATTATTTATTTATTGAAACTACGATAAATCATTTCAAAATAGGTAAATCTTACTTGGGCACTGAATTGATTCTGGTTAATTCTGTCAGAAGTCATTAATCTACGCGGACGAAGTCGCGGGCAACAGCTATCTACACATATAATAAATCGTAGAAAAGTCAAAACTGTACATTGAATATTTTTTAAAAGAATATTTGAAGCGTGATCTCTAATCGATACCGAAGCCAATAATGTGGTTTTTAGAATTTTTGTCTGTTTGTCTGTATGTATGGCCGTGATGATCTCAAAAAGTACTGCACTACCATTTCAAATTTTGCATGAATATTACTAACAAGTCTGGTAAACATATAGGCTACATATTATCACGCTATCATCTACGGGACTGAATCAATTCTGACGACATCCATAACCGTAGAATATCCCTTGATAAAAACTAATTCAAAAGCCTAAATTCTGCCAGAAGTCATTATTCTACGCGGACGAAGTCGCGGGCAACAGCTAGTTAAATATAATAATGTCATACAGATAGGGTGGGACTGACAGAAAAGCCTTGAAAATAGCACATAGTCTCACTCGCAGTGGAAAATGTTTAGGTAAATCATTACGCGGTTTATGTTAATAACGTAAAGGGTGATAAAGCACGCACAAACGCTCATAAATGTGTTGGCACCATTACTGTTCTCGCTACTTTATAGTTATCTCACGTCTTGTACTAGAGACCTTCTTCTGTATCACTACTAAGAAAATAACATTCATAACAGGTTTTAACCTTTAGAGACAATAATTGTAACAGTGACTAGCAGTAGGTACCTATAATTAAGATAATATGCAGTATGGCATATTAGTGTAGTGCCTTAGGCTAAAACAGAGACTACAATGTTTGCTAGTTGCTTGGTAAATCACAGGCAACAAAGACATCGAAAGCAGATACGATCGAACATGTCGATGGTCACGACGACGCGAAAGCATGCGCGATCTCAAAGTCAAAACATCGGGTAAACTGGTAAACAAAGGGGTCAGTGCACGCGGTGACGTCAGATTTTATATCAGACACATTCTAAATAACGCTGCAGGAAAGCTTACAAAATGTAAGAAAAAAAAATTAAGACTTTGGGTCGCATTTCGATCCCCGTCTAAGTACGCATTTGCCGAAGTAATACTGCATCTATCTCGTCTGTTTCCGTATCGCACTATATAAATCTCAGGATGCAAATTACCCTTTAAAATTACTACACGTTCGTGTAAATTTCTACAGCACGATTACCGTGACAAACAATTCGTTTAGATATGCTTACGATTTCTTCCCAGAATTATCATGATATCTGTTTAAACTTAGAATAAATGTGAATTTAAGTGGCGAGAGCGCAGACATCAGAACATTTGGAGATAAGAAAATAGTTCCTGTGTAATAGCATTTTAAGTCGAGTGATTCTAATAGCTTTTATCTAATCAATAGTGATTTACTAAATTTTCTAAGAGGTTGCACGTGCTTTGAAGTGCTCAGCAAAAGATACCAATGTTAGGTTTTTGCATACAATTGAAAAAGGAACATTAAGATATAGCGGAATAACCGTGAAATTTATTAACATCTTTTTTTTTCTTTTAATTACGCTAAGACGGAAATGTATTATTAGAGAAGATATATAATGAGTAGATAAGTCCGTGTCATGGGTCATTAGTTTCAATGTAACAAGAATGCATTTACGAGAGTTAGAGACAACAACATGTACACAAACAATGATAATTGAAACGTAGAACAAATGTCGCATGTATAATAAGATGGTGGCAAGAAGCGAACGCACTGAATACAGATTAATTGGTAACAATAAATAAAGCCACAGACAAAGAAAATACAGAGTTCATTAATACAATCGATGCGAACAAAGATTCTTGTATAAATCTACCTGAATATGTTTTTGAAATAGTCAGCGACAGATAATTAACGTTAAAATAGTTCATGACCAATAACTACAACCAATTGAAAAAAAAATTGTTTAAAAAGATTGTGTGGTTAAAAATGAAAATGCTTAACAACACTGGAATATCTACATTTTGAACAGATTTGTTTAAAAGCTTACGATTTGAGAAGCACAAAGACAAAGTTCGGCTCTGCATGAATATCGATACTGCGTAGCGTACGTGACAAGCAACACTAATTCGCAAAATTATCGGTTATTCTAGACCAATTCGATTCCAACTATGTCATAAACCAAGAATGACTAAACACATTGTTTACTAACTAGATTATTATGAGCAACTGGACATTTTAGATATAAACAATTGCAAATGTAGGTAAACTCTAAGTTGCAACCGTTGCGAAACCACATTATCACAAATATCGTAAACACGTTATAATTGTAATAGAAGCATTGTTTTAGTAATCGTTTGTCTCAAAAACTAATTTGAGCTAGCTTTATGTGTTTTTATATTACGATTATAAAAAATGTTTGAGGAAAATAGGTACAATAAGCTTCCATTCTATTAGTGAATTAATATAAAATGAATAGTATAATTTTCTATTTAAATACAGGTAACGAGGTAATATGGCAACAGTTCCGCAATGGAAATATTATGATAATAAACTTGAAAACAATATTTATGGGCATTATGTCGCGGTTGTTATTTAATTTTAACATCTCATCAAATAAATTCTGGCCAAAACAAAATGTAAAGCGGAAGGCTGGCCACTGGTCATGTAACATTTTTATTATCGAACTACAACTACTCCTAGTTGAAAAAAACTAAAATATATAGTACATATTCTAGAAGGCATTATAAATGAGCATTATATGCTCCAACCTCAAAACTGATTAATGATACTCGGTATGCTAATTCGTTTAGAAAATATCGAACTGACATTGAGATGGATTATGTCGGACAAAGAGAAACAATTGAATCATTGAACGGTTCTAAAATTATTATTAAGTTAAAAATAGTTTAAGAACATAATTATATTTATTAATTATGCCTATTTAAAATTGCATTATCTGATAACTAACTACACAATGACTATAAGAAATAGTTTTTTATTTAAGTATGTGTACTTGTGCATTTGTGGTGAATAACATTTTTGGTAACTAACTACATAGCTATTTTTCTAGATTTTTGCTTCTTTCTATTAAAGATAATTACTTATTTTTGTATTGCTTTTTCTCTATTTAGCTATTTTAATTTGATATTTGATTATACGATATTGCAATAAATTTAACTGGTTAAATTAACACAGATACGGTACATATTACTAAGTAAACTGTATTGGGAATTGTTAAGATACGATTAATTCTGTGTTTACAAACTCTTTTTTTTATATTTCAAGCTTTTTTTTATGTAAATTAACCTTAATAGCGGACATATTTTTCCAGAGTAGTTATAATATCACACGATCTATAAAATAGTAACAGTATCCTCAATTATGTTTAGATCGATACAGTGGTAATTTATCAGATACTTAAGAATGGTTGTGAATTACTTCCTTAAATCCACTACTCTTAACTAAAGAGTTAATATTACAAAACATGTTTTTAGAACTTAAGGAAAACGAAACGACACTTAAATCTGACCACGCGACCACATTCCTTAACGTGATAGTGTACTTAGAGAGAGATGCTACGTGAGCAAAATAAAAACATAGACTAAATTGTGAGGAATTTATCGAGAGCACCACTGCCACCTTGCGACCAACGCCGGTGCTGTGCATAACACAATACTCAAGTTACGTCTATTGCTGAGAAAAATGTAGGTCGTGTCCGATTTCAAAGCGCAGCGGGACTTGCACAACTTAATTCTAACTGCCAATGGCAAATCAACAACAGACTTTCGATATTTGTAGTGTTTGCTTATATTTTATGTTCCGACGATTTATTGTTCATCGGTGATAAGATAAAACGACCAATCTGACTTATTGGTCGAATCACTGCATGACTTATCGTCGCTAAATCGACATCAGTTTTCACGGTCAGGAAAGGAATTAATTTAATCTTACTCACATCTGAATCATGAACAGATTACGAAAAAAACAAGGCGACGCTAATCATATGTACGGAAGTTACCTTAAAAATACTTATCTAATAATATAAAATTTAGTCTAAACGCTTGACATCGTAAGAACTGTTGAGAGTAATCTTTTTCTTTGTATATTCAATAAGAATGAAAAATCGAATTACCTGGTTAATTGACAGCAGGATCTACTGAATAGTAAATGAGATGTTTGTGGTTTTACCCGGGGCGTCAACACCGAACTAAGTTTTTAACTTTGTTATATTTTATTTTTTCATACACCACATATAATGGGAAGAACCCAAAAATTCTAAACACAGTGAATAGTAAAAAAACAAGAATGTTAAAAGTAAAAAAGAATAACAACGTGTGCCTTTGCTGATTAAACGGTAAATTGGTAAATTGGTGTTATGAAAGAAACTCAATGAAAAGGTTGGTAATGTGGGAAAGGCGTAAGGGGTCACGGACGTACACTCGGTTCTCGTTTTCACTTAACAGTTGTCTGAGAGTGCAGTGCCTTCGCACCACCATCAAGTGACGCCGAAGTCTACCGACCACTACTAACTTCTCGCCGCTTGTTGCCTAACAACTGAACAACGTCGCCGCCCAACACCGCTCAAGTTTCCACAAAGTACAAGCCGCAAGTTGTACAACTATCTATCTAGTTACTAAGACATAACTATCACTTGTAGTATTTATGTTTTCCGAGTTTGTCTTCATATTTGTAAACTATGTTTTTACTCTCTGTATTGTTTCTTCGTTCAACTACCTATAAATACACATGAGTATTCATTTGAGAAGGTAATTTTGAAATACATTTGCTAGACGTATTTATGTGAATATATTGTAAATAGCTTTTGTATTTTTAAAATATTTTTAAAATACAAATATTATATTCTAACAGTAAGGTGTTTTAGAGTGTCACATGAACATGGAATCAATTTAAACTTTTATTATATTATCACAAATCACGATAGGTTTCGGAGACAAACACCGACCTCCTTTCCCCGTTGCACTGGCGCAACGAACAAACAGAATAACTAGACGAAGATGTCGGCGTACGAAATCGTAGCGGAACCTGCGCGCGCGACTTTCACTACCGTACGTATACGCGTGCTCATGCGCAGCGTGCGAATCGCGCGCCGCTTTGAATGCTACTGATGACAAACGCCGGCCGCCTCTTGCGCCGATGGTGGGGCAGCTAGTTGTCTATAGTCAACATGTGATAAACAACTTCTGAAACCTACCCCCTTACTACTCATAATGTTATCTCTTTTCAAAGCCTAAATACGTGCGTACATGTTACTCACATCTGCGCCAATTTCATTATCGTTAATGTCACTTGTGTCCCACATTTTGTCTCATCAGTAAAAAGTGTCGCAAGTAAATATATGAATATGTAAATAATATCTTAAGCACTAGGCGTATAATAATAAACTTCAAAACAAAGCAATTAAAATATTCATTGGGAAGCGACGCGCCACTTTATAAAAATGTCAGACAGAATATTACCGCGGCCCGTCTAAATTGTATTACGTTAATCCATAAATCTTACGATAACATTTTACGAATATGACAACCCACACATAAGCGAATTGCGGTTATTGTATTCAAATTACATCTGCTCCTATTTCTGTCGATTGCACGAGTGGGCAGACTGGGCCACGTAGGGTGCCCTACCTTTGCATTATTAAATAAAATACCGATCAAATCGATTTGCTTGACAGCGTATAGGTCACTAGGTACCTGCTGCATTCACACAGCGTCGTATTGATTTTCTTACGAAAACATACTAACTCTTTTAAATAACATACAGAGCGAAATTTGATGTTCACTATAATTAAATACCTCTGGGAACAGACTATCGCATCGCCAGGCTGACATTGAATTAAGACAGATGTAGGTAGACAACTCAACTACTATTGTCATTTTAATGAATGTATTTTCCTGTTCGGCATTTTTCAGAGCTGTCACTTTTATTTTGCTGATTCAATTTGATAAATAGAATGTAAGATGATGGCAAAAACAAATGAGTGTAGTTGATAAGTAAAACGCGGTCATTTATGATATTCACATCAGCTACCCTAATAATTTTTATGCATTTAAAAAGAAAAGATGAAGATACAGTATAAATATGATTTTCTTGGGCCTCCACGCAAAAGGAGACACGAGTCGATGACATTATTGTTTAAGAGCCTATCAGGTGATGACTCGTGTGAGTATGATGTACTGCGCACCTAATACACTATGTAAACATCGCTACTGAACGACCAAATATTTATACGTAGACATTAATTCATTATCAGTTTCAGATCAAATCATTGTCTTGAGCTAATTGACGAATTATTCATTCATAAAATACGCAGCGAAACGTAAATAGCATTATTGCAATGATGGTAAGATAGCCTTTGTGATTGTTCACACCCGTTTTAATAATAGGTACATAAATATGATACACTATAATAGCAAAACTTAAAAAACCCGCAAAGAGAGCCTTCGTGTGCTATTCTTGTTGAATCAGAAATATGTTCACTTATTACACTTCACCTCTCATAAATTAATCGTTTGGTAGGGTTAATCTGATCTGAATAATTTTTACATACCAACACGACCAGACTTAAGATCCTCGTTGATATCCATTGCGTTTTTACTGGTACCTATGGAAAATAAACTTTCAAGATAAAACTGTGAAGAATGCAATGGATATAAAAACCCGTACTTCGAGCATCATATTTTTAAGTAGACCCTGGTTAAAATGGCGTATTGCGCAATCCTTGCCCTTTCATCTGACTTTGACATATTACAGTGATGCAATAACCTTCCATATGCTTCATTTACATGGACCAGCTGCACCGTAAATTACTTGACTTTATTTTCATAATTTCTAAAATAGTAATCAAATAGACTGCTTGTGGACCCGTAGTAAAAGGTTCAATAAATAAAGTTCGTGGTGGACTGAAAGCATTACGTAAATAATGGTACAAAGACTAATTTGCCTAATCGAGACTAGCGCCGCGTCACGGATGAATAACGGTTCGTTTGTGGTCTGAGCTGCTTCCAATTGAAAGTGTTCGCAACGGTACTTCCGATTGTAACAAAACTTTGAACTAATGAGGCCGACACGGACCATAGAACTTTAACATTGGTAACGTATCAGTTCAGTTACATAGCACACATCACTACAATCAATCTTGTGGAGGGGAACTATTTCTAAGTACCAATCAAATATTTTATGTCGCTCGCGTAGATTTTAATATCCTTGCTTAATAATTGCTTTAATGTGAATACGTGCAAACTACAACGTTTCAGCAATTAGCACTCTAACATCAAGATAATTACTAAGAAAATAATGTCTAGTCAATCGTGAAACACTAAATTACGGTAAAAAATGAAACAGTTATAGTATATGTTACTTACTTCTGGTTGTTTATTTTAAAATTGATGATTTATTTGACTAAAAAGCTATCAAACTTCACGTGAAATGTTGTCATTGTTTATCATTCAGTCATCATTAGTTTTACTTGTCAAAAAACCAATCGGATGTCTCATAAAATTAAACCATTCCAGAAATTTGTGGTGATTATAAAACTTGACTATTTAAGACTACCATACGTTCATAATAAGAAAAAAGAAGAATAAATAGATACGAACATTTCGAGAATTGGAAGAGGAAAAATTAAAATAAAAGCGATATTGACAGAAATAAAAACATGACAACAATGCAGTGTAACGTAAAAAGTTTTAAACGAACAAGTCTGCAAGTGTTGATCCTATGCAACCGTGGTAAGAGCATATTATGCCGTATAGCCAGCTCTATCCTTCCACATAAGTGTGGATCACAAGCAAAGCTTCTGGTCTTGATCTGTCTTTCACGTGGTAGCAATCACATCATTGTAAGTTCGCATGTTCCACCACCAGAAACAGGGAATTGTACCTAATAAGCCCAAAAAGATGATTCATTTTTAGTTTCAATACATGGAATTCCGGTTGAGTAAGTTTTGAAAGTTTTATATTAGAATAATATTGAATAAATACTGTACATTTCAGTTGTCCACTTTCCATAATTTTGTCATACAATGAAGTATTGTAAAATTTCGACTTAAATAAAACTATTTAACGACTTTCAGTTAAAACATCATCAGATTACGAAAATTCTTGTTCGGATAACACTTTAAGTTAACTAATTGCGAGTCGCAATCCGTCTACGGCGACGGTGCTCATCAAAACTTGCGATGTTTTGGCTAAGCCCCAAAAAGTTTAATCGCCGACCGTAGCTTTATTATAAAATTTTAAGTCAACATTTTGAAGTGCAAATTCCAAGTGATAGTGATAACGGAAAAATTGTATTTTATGTAAGCCGTTGTAGAACAAGATTTACAGATAATTTTACAACATATTCACTTTTAACTGGATATTTGACGATATGGTTAGATCACACGTAATGGTATTTTTCTTGCGTAGTCAATTAGTAAAAGGTCTATGCACTAACTAGTACTTGCTAAGCCGTGAACAGCTACGATGCGTAGTCAATTAATAGGTCTACGTATTGCGTAGTACATGGTACGCATTGCTACGCCGGACACTCGAACGATGCGTAGTCGATTTGTAGAAAGTCTACGCAACACATTGTACTAGCTACGCACCGCTTTGCCGCGTACTGCTACGATGCGTAGTCGATTATTAGGTCTATGCACTACGTAGTACTTGCTAAGCACCGCTACGCCGTGCATAAGTACGAGGCGCAGTCTATTAGTAGAAGGGCTACGCACCGCTACGCCGCGCAACTGCTACGAAGCGTAGTCAATTAGTAGGTCTACGCACAGTATACTTGCTACGAACCGCTACGCCGCGAAACAGATACGTCGCGTAGTCGATTGTTGGAAGGTCTACGCACTGCGTAGTAATTGCTATGCACCGTTACTACGCAGATATATATATATATAGGTACGATGCATATTGGGTAGTAGATTATTAGAAAATCTACGCATTGCGTAGACGTTGCATAGTGTTCACATTTATCACCCGTAGCTTTTTAAGATTCATATATTTTTTTAATAACACTCCTTCACCCCATGAACCACATTAATAATGATGCCCTGATCTCAATCTACAGAAACAAAATATTTTTATAAATTGTTAACCTTTCGTGTGTCTAAACGCGGGTCCACGCGAGACACAATGTATTTTCTATTGTGTCTCATATGGGTGCATTCAAGCGGTTAATATTTCGACTAAGAGACCCTAAGAGGCCTGCCGACGGCGAGCACGAGTAGCTCACCGTCCAATCAGAACCAGACCCGCGCATACGGCGCGTCGCGTTTCGCGCGCGTCTCATAGAGCGATCAGACCACCACAGATGGGCCTGGTAGGACTGATACGGAGCCACGGAGGACTTAACGGGTTGCGCGAGCTACGGCTCGAAGTGCAGGAGTAGGAACGGGGTGGTTTTTGTTCTGACACTCCCTCTCGCCTCATCCGGGCGGAATAAATCATTCGATGATTTTCCCCCCTTATAAAAAAAACGTCTTCCTGAAACCCAATGAGAAAGCAACCTTATACTTTTACTACACTTGCGTTTTCCTTATTTGCTACTGCGCATTATTTCTAGATAATAGAGCATGTTGACAGGTTTCATATTCATATCACTGCTCTCATCACAGACATGTTGTAAAGGGTGCGTAAATAAAGAAACGTAATTATAACCAATCAGGAAGAACGACTGAGATGTTTATTAAACACACTGCAACTGCGAGTCATCTGTGCGACTGCAACACATTTGTTTACTTTGCCTACCTATAAACCAACCTTAAACAACGGCTCAACAGTACCGACTGTCGCAACAACACAAATAGGTACATCAGCAAGATTGCTCTCGTTTATACATACCTACGTATTTACACGGAAATAAAGAGAAAATCAAATGGCATAAGATCCTGAATCTAATTTTATCGATGAAAATTCACTCACATCTGCAGATTTATGAGCGCCTGGTGAATTTAGTGTTTTATTCACTCGGCTACGTGAATAATATTTGTCGCTTACCTATTTGTTCGGCAAGCTCGGGTTGGATGATATGAATATTCATGACAATGCGGCAGTAAAGCAAACGTACGCTATGCTAGAGGAGCGACGGAGCCATGCTGGTGGCGGTTGGGGCGTGG